GGTAACGTACTAAGAAGAAATACTACGTAACTATGTTTATTCTCACTATTATGCATTGAAATTGATTAATAACATCATTGGAATTAAAATAACTCTAATATTTGCTAAAATCAAAGCATTCCGAATCTTTCCTTTGATTTTCTGAGAAGTCGGGAGGCAGAAGATCGTTTTCGCCTATTTCTCCGCGACCAGAAAGGATTTCTAAATTCTGAAAGCTGCTCTCGCCTTTTTAGGCCATTCCACACCTATTGCGCACTTTCCCCGTTTATTTTCGATACTTTTTAAAGAAGTGCTCACGGCAGCCCCAAGAGTGGATTTCTCGCTGACTGGGATCTTAAATATCAGAACTTACTATATTTTTTTTTCTTGAAAATATGTTTAATGATTCTAACTACTATAACTAAGACATTTATCAGCATAAACTTTTAATTTACCTGAACGCTAGATATCCAACTTCGAACGCTTTTAAAAGACATTTCAGATGTTACATCGTACATAATAATAACCCCGTCAGCTTTCCTGAAATATTGCTTGGTAATGCTTCTGAATCTAAAAGAAATATGAATAAAAGTTAGCGATATTAAGATACTTCTGAAATTGAAATTGTTGTTAAGTACAAAGTTACACAACGTGTGCTCTGCTGATCATGGGTATCAAAACCCAAGTTGTACCCTCGTAAGCCTGCTACCTTACCGCTGAGCCACTGGGAGACAGGAAATATAAGAAATCCTTACAAATAGTAGATGGTAAACGTCGAAAGACTTCGAATATTAAAACACAACATAACTTATATTGTGAATCATCGGAACCTAAAAAATCTGAGAAGTATTTTAGAACCTTAAAATATGACACTGTTTTGTAATAAAATAGAGATTTAACATATTGGTCACCAAAAAATAACTACCAGTGTTTGAGCTCTTTCAAGGGTTTATCATTAAGTTGGATGAAAGGGTCTGAAAGTTTGTGGCTCAACAAAAAAATCTTGTTGTGAGTTGAAAAATAATACTACATTTTTAAATTGTTTGAAAGTAACATACAGCATACCTATGCTCAAACTAAGAAAAATAAAACGCCTTGTAATACTTATCACCCTAATAACATAAAACTACTTATTGATAATTCAGACACTAAGAACATCAATCTGTTGGGCAATAATTCCAAAATTAAAACCATCAAACCACTGGGCAATAGTTATGGAAGTATTAGTGCTATTCGGTAATATAAGAAATGTAACAAATGTTTGATAATACTTTGAAACCAAAACTAAAATATGCAACTTTTACGCAAAACTTCTTAATTTAAGCACAGTAAGTACTTCATAATATTAGATACATAAATAAAATGTAAGTAATACTAACTTCGTAACGGTTGAAATTTTTTAATGTCAAAGCTTAAATTACATAAAAATAGTGTGTGTGTGTTTTTATCGAGTTTTTAAGAAAGTAGCTAGAACGCAAACTTAGTTTTTCAAGACAACTAAGTTTGTTAAATTATTTTCAATATCAGTCATAAAAAAATGGTTTTAAAAAGCATTATGGAGCTGTCGACCTTTGTATTTCTACTCACAATTCTAGTTCCAGCTCTTGAATATTTCCATAAATGTTCTGAGTACAATCTTGTAATTTATTTAATAGAAAACAAAGAATATTAGTGCAAGTTGACAGTACAAAATCATACCTTTCTTGTCCAGCCGTATCCCACAGCTGAAGCGCCACCACACGGCCATCTACATTAATTGACTTCACTTGAAAATCTACCCCTGTGACGTATAAAATATAGAACAGATTGAATTTATTACATTCAGGTGACAGACGTAAAGAAACAATGAACTTTCACTGTAGGATCAGAATGAATCCCAATAAAAGACTAAAGGTTCGTACTGTAGAACAAACACTTCAGTTCTGATATACAATGTTAAAAATCACATTTTTACATTGTACTAACTGGGACGGTGCTACCCGTAATAAAAACAAACTAGTTTGAAAATGTGAAATTGGCATATTTATTTAACCTTCTATACTTCAATGAAATGAGCTTATTCTAGTCCATTACACATAGAACAACAGAAATCACTTACCTATGGTAGCACTGAAGGTAGCTTTGAAAGTATTGTGGCAGAACCGGTGAATAAAGCTGCTTTTACCTACACCCGAATCTCCGATAAAAACGATTTTAAAAATCCTTTCCGGACTGGCTTCTTCAGGAAGCGTCTAGAAATACAAATAACCATACGCAATTAAAAATGATAAAAAATCTCAGTATAAATTTAAATCCAGTATTCCGATAAGTAATGGTTATGAAAACAAATAACTCAGTAATTATTGGAAAAAAGTTTAGATGTTACTTGAATAAATGTTTAAAAGATTTCTTGACATTCATTTCTAAAATATTAAAGTTTTATGGCACTGTTTTAGGAAACTCCTAGCAATGAGATTATTTCTTTAGAAACGTCGATTTAATATCATTTCTTCAATTATTTATCTCAAATACTTAAAGGCAAGTAGATTATCGAAATGATTTAATCTGATTCTGACATAATGTTTTTCCATACATTTTAAACAGCTAATCAGGATAAAACTTGAAAATTTATTAAATAATCTCTTTATATCACCGATACTGAATATGTTTTTGAAAAACTCACAAACACCAGAAACAATTACGAAAGAAAAGCACAGGTCATATTATGTTTATGTGCATAAAAGCGTACACAAGGCATGCATAGTTTAATTCAAGAAAGACATTCAAAGCCATTAATAATTGTAGAATCAACCGAAAGGTGGCGTGCAAAAACCAATACAAAATGATTTTATTAGCGATTCATACAATTAGCAAAAAAGAAAAAAGAAAGTAAAACAATGTAATTCTAGATTAAAGCCTCGTAGAGCTTGTATTTTTAATTAATTTTTATATCTTATTGTCTTTTTGAGCTAAACCGATCGGCTGATTTACTCTACATTTTTCAAAGATTTTGTTTTTATCAAACATTTCATTTGATATCCTACGAACAATTTCTAAATCTCAGTTTAATAATATTAGCAGTCTCTCAGAACGGTCATGTAGTTTTGTTCCTGAATAGAAAACTTATTATTATTTTTAATAACATAATTATTTCTAGAGGATAGCCTGCCGTAAAAGCAATTTTTTTTTTAAAACAAGCTCTACTGCCTTATTCATCAATGTTTACCAGAAAAGTAAAATAAAACTCTTGAGGGCCCACACCTGCCGTATAAAAAAAAACTATCAAAAAATCCCAGTGGAAAGATGAAAGGTATTTTCAAGTGATTTTTAGAAACTGTGCTCCAGAAAATCAACCTCAGAAAAGTCCAAGTTTATGAAACATACTGACGACCACTGATAATTTCATCGAAATGACGAACTCGGCTGAAGTTTATTTATTATATATGGCGGACGTTTTGTAAAGTAGGTTACAAACTTATAAATGAATCATTGTTCTACTTATAACTTAAAAGACGTCTTTGGCATACGAACAGTAACAGTACATTTTAGAAATATATCTTAACCTGCAGATCTAGACTTGTACAATGAGAGATATCACCAAATATAGCGTAATCGACCGCTAATATCGCAATACGCGATAACTGACGACATAAATTCTTGCTGTTAAAACTTTTTAAGTGTAAGAAGAACTAATGTATTTATTTTGTTGAGTAAAAAATAACGATTCCAAGCTTTTCATGCATAATACAATTCACAAGGCACATACATCATAGTTCCGCTGTATTTATGAAGTTTCAAACGTTGTTATAAAAGTGAACCAACCTAGTGCTTTAATATGTAAAATGTTGCACACACACACACACGCGTACATGCTATAAAAATGAAGAACTTATACGTTTGTTTAGTTCGTTTATTACAGCGAATTCATAAATATCTGAAATTCTTAACACCAAATCATGCGTAAGCAGGCATATATAATCCATGAAAATTGAAAGAATGAAAAACAGAAACACCTCCAAATAACTGAAATTCTTAACACCAAATCATGCTTAAGCAGGCAAATATAATCCATGAAAATTGAAAGAATGAAAATCAGAAATACCTCCAAATATCGTCTTTTGAATGAAGGTATAATTATATATATAAACTGCTAATTTTTCATCTTCACAGATATTACATAAGCTCTTTTACACTATGGAAAAACAAGCGAATTACAGTGTACTTGAGTTATATAAACTCAAACCATATTTTACGGGCATACGTGTTCAATACTAGCAATTGGCATAACCAAGAAAAACTAAAAAAAAAAAAGAAGTATTCGAAACACGTAATCCTGTTTAGCAGTATGCAATCAAGTTCGTGATTCGCATTCCGCTTCGTTTATGATGTTTGGATTACATTTTAATATTAAAATCTCTTATGTTTATAGTTATTGATAAACCCACTTCAGCCATCTTTCCGCAAACATGCAATAAACGTAGTTCCATAGGAGCTAATATGTAGAGCCTATGAAGAGAAACTCTTAGAAGAAACTGAATGAAGTTTCAGCCAATGATCTTGTCATTTTGCTCTCAAAATGAACAATATTTACATATCTTTTTCAATGGAAATGAAAAATAAAGCTTAGGGAAAACGTTCAGCTAAGAAGTCTTTTCCGTGGCATCAAACATGTATCCAGATGCACTTCTGTTTGATACTCCAAACTAATTTTTTTAAGATACTAAAAGACAACAAAAATAAAAGTTTAATAATTTCTTTATTGAGACGATATTTGGCCAAATAATAAACAACGATACTAGGTGGTGGAACGACAATAGATTAGATTTACCTCCTCGTCTTCGCTTTGTTCCTCCTCGGGTAGTTTTAAAGTAACCATGGTAGCGGGAAAAAGAAAAAGCTTCACCTTCCAATGACCCTGATGATGTGATGATGTGTGAAACATGAAGGTAATAATAATAATGGAACGTATATAAGCACAATACAGCACACGTTCACACCTCTAACAATACTATTTTCAAAGATTAATCTAATGCTATGACATCGTATGTATAACACTGAATAATAGTCGTTATTACAGGAAAATGTTCCATTAAAAGAAGTATTTAAATCAGCAGTTCTTCAGTAATATTGCCTTGTTATTCTAAAGTTTAATCGATTATAGGCCTCATTCGATTTACAGAATAACACGAAAACTGTACGAGTTTCAATGTAATTTTCACACACACTCATTTCTATTTCAGTTGCTTGGAAATATAAATTTTAAAGAATGGTTAGGGAATGATATTTTACGAAATCCCTACACTTTCATAAAGCCTTAAATTTCTCAGATGGCGAATAACAATTTCTTACACCTACTTTCACAATTAAAACTAAAATCTTGAAAATTGTCTGATATTAATATATTTCACAAAGTATGAGGAGTTAATCGCTATATTAAAGCTTGTTCTCAGGTACACACTGGCTAGGCTTAGAAAATACTTTTCAGATATTAAAAATATTTCTTATTGTACTTATTGTACGATGTGTATATTCTTTATAATTATCACGAAAGCTGGAATTACCCCAGATTCGTTTTGTACAGTGTCGTTTCGTTTTGAATGCTGTTTCAAATTATCATTAAACCCAACCCCTAAGAGTCTCATCCGTATGGCGATACTTCTTAGTACGACTACTCCACCCATCCAAAAGAACAACAACAACAACAACAAAACACTTTCAGGTTAATGAGAAAAATAATGTAGGGTGAATTTAAAAGCTTAAAAAGCTAAATCTTGATATACCAGATGAGGTCTTGAAGACCTGGGAGGGTTAGATAAATATGACCTCTTCCTCCCATCCCCCCGTTACATGTTATCTGCTTTTGTCGAATACTAATAAATATTCTACATGAGAGTCGGAATATCTCGCATTTACTCCGAGCACTTTCAGGGCAGTGTCCATGTAGGTACTTACATTTGTATTCATGCGAATAATACATTTTCTCTTAGTTCGTTATTGAAAAGTCCTGCACTTCGCGAACAGTTCATATATATTTTCACATTAATTAGTCTTACTCTAATTAGAGAGCATTTACATATAAACCCTTTTTAATTCTATCTTCATAGCTTAAAACTATATGATTTCGTTTGGTTTGAATTTCGCGTAAAGCTACACGAGGGCTATCTGCGCTAGCTGTCCATAATTTAGCAGTGATACACTAGAGGGAAAGCAGCTAGTCAGCACCATCCACCGCCTACTCTTGGGCTACTCTTTTAGCAACGAATAGTGGGATTGACCGTCACATTATAACGCCCCAACGGTTGAAAGGGCGAGAATGTTTGGTGAAACAGGGATTCAAACCCTCGACTCTCAGATTGCGAGTCGAGCGCCATAATCACTTGGCCATGCCAGGCCATGAAAACCATATGAAGCTCATACGTCTTGCAAAAAATCACACATTGCAAAATTGCCCAAAGTAAATCCCCGACTCTCACTGTTTAATACTTAACAGCCGTAAATTTGGTAAAAAGTTCGATAAACCGTTTCAGATTAAAAACCACAAGTTTTACCTTTTCTTCTGTTTCTGGTAGATCACTGCTAGTTAGAGCATGATTGAGGTTACGTTTGGTTTTCCACGTTTCCTATTAGTTGAGTAATAACCACATTAGTACAAATTATGTTTTATTTGAATCCTATATGTTTGCTCTTGATATTTATTGTTTTTATTATACAGCTCAAAAATACTAAGAAATGACCAGAAGTTACTATATTCTAGTTATTAGAAAATAAGATTACTGATTTTTTTAATAATGCAAATGACAATCTGCGTTCATTTTTATGAAAAACAAAAATGTGATGACCAGTCACGTGATTTGATATGCAAATGCTCACTATTGGAGCTCATGTTCAGAAAATTATTTTTGCACTACTGAATCCGAAGCACAATAAATGATGGGAAAACAGTTGTTAATAAGGCGTATGGTACCTTGGACACTAATGTAAGTAGTACATCAGTGTGGCAAATTTCAAATGAGTGAATCAGTAAGCTACTGAGGTAATATGGCTCTCATTCATCCATCAGAACTATTTCCATCTCTTTAACATTGCTTGGAAGTGAATCACATGCTGCAAAATATACATGTTTAATCAGACTCAAATCTGGCGAGCGTACTAGCTACTCCATTCCCTCGATACCCTATTTTTTTCTTCTGAAAAGTTGCTCGCCAGTTGAGCATGGTGGGGACGCATGTTATCATCAATCGAAGGAAATACTGTATCACGATACACTATTTTATTTATAGAACCTTGTTGTAGCACATAAAAGCTAGTGTGGCCTGACCACTCTCAAAAAGCGTGCATATCTAATCTGTTTCATGGAAATGCCCAAATATTTTCGTCGTTATGGTATAATGCATATTCTGTTGTTGTCCAAACTACAACATATTTCATTATTTTTATTGACCAGTTAATTGTGCATATCCAATCACATGGTCGGTTATCTACAACTTTATTTATATAATAAACGATCATCGATATTATTTAACAACAACAATCGTGCTTTCCTATATATTTTATTGAAACTTCTATAAAATATTTGTATGAAATAAAAAAAAGCTTTTATCAAATACTCTAAAACGTTTAACTTCTTTCCTACAGTCTAAACTTTTGTTTTCCATTTTGAAAAACAACAACAACATTCATTTTGCATGTAAAAGTACATGATTTCTTTTCTTGAGACTATACGTACAGATTGTTGTTCATAAACTATGGTAATGATACAAGGATGATTGTCCAAGCCTTACATCCCTTCTTCCATTACAGATAGTGTTTTATGTGATAGCCCTGGTTATGGGCTATATCTCTGTAACGCTATTTTCACTGCAATAGATTTTATAGAATACATCAAGGCTAATGTTGTCCCTCTTTACATACTTTGCAAAATCTATTAACCATGTGTGAATGACAACTTTCAAAAATCCGTTTGAACAACCCAAAGGCACAAGAGTCCATGTAAGATGTCCGTGAATGGTGCAGCGTGAATGTCTAGTTGTACTTGAATCTTGTATAATAAATAACGTGTTGATGTGGATGTGCGGCTGGAAGCACTGTATTAAAGGCACCACACAACATTTTATTGATTTTATTGCAGTATTGTGAAGTCAGTAGGTTAGTTTGATAGTTCGCAGAATTCATCTTCATATTTTTCTCGAGTCTCCAGATATTTAATTTATCTGCTGTGTCTTTGGGATATTTATGGTGATAAACTATTTAAGTTTTCTTCTACCTCCATGAAGTAGTCAATATTTTTTTCTCCTGTCGGAGTTATACCTTTCCTTCTTTACTCATACCATTCAACCCCTTTCTGATAAAGCTAAGATTCGGAGCCTTACCTGTTTGTATAATTCCAAAATAGGAGAATTTTGTGTCGGAATGTTCTCTAATGAAACCATCTCGGAAGATTTTCAAATACCCACTCTTTAGTTGAATTGCAACAAGATGGTAAATGCTTTTAACCTGCTTAGTCAAAGACCCCGTGGAATGGCCAAGGACAAATTGTACGGATGTGTAAATTGTTACGTCATAGATCGTGAACAATCTTCTATATTTAATACATGTTAAGTTTTATTAGGTGTGGAAAATATTCAATAAGGATAACAACTTAGTACCTCGTGGTCAGGAGAAGAGTAACATATACCTTGTCCATCCAAAACTGGACTGAAGGTCCGCTTCACTTTCCAGTTGTCTCTTCCCTTGACAAGAAACATTTATTGGTTTAAACTACCTAGGATTTATGCACTGCATTATTTATTCATACCTATATGAAACTTATTAAAACTGGATATATTACTTCCGTAACAAAAAACAGACCTAATTGAAAAATATTACTAAAATTCCATTAACCTGCGTGCGACCACACCTGAAGAACAGAAAAAAGAAAGAATGTTGATAAGATTTACTAAAAGATGACATTAAAGATTTTATTTGTTTGTTGATAAGTGCAGAGCTACACACTGGACTATCTGTGCCAAATGCGGCAATCGAAACTCAATTTTTAGTGTTATAACCCTTCAGACGTACTGCTGAGTCGCTGGGGGCGTCTTTGTTTGTTTTATTTTAGAGCAAAACCACATTGAGCGATTTCCTGTGCTCACCGCGGGGGATCAAACCCCGGATTTTAGCGTTGAAAATCCGTAAACTTACCACTGTCCTACCGGAGGACCTGGGGGGCGTTACTAAACATTTCAAGAAAATAACAAGTGTTATATTAATACTTTTTACTAATTTTAATAAAGTACAGTAGAATGTTAAATGTGCGGTTAATCACTTAATTACTGGATGTTGATTCAACAAAATAAAGTATAGTAAAAGGATTATTTTTGCAATTATTTCACTGATGATATTTCTAACGTAGTTACATTATGTGAACGTTTATGTACTTTTTTATTATTACCGAGAAAGGGGATTCGAAGATAAAAGATGAATATTGTTTTAAGAAATGTAATTAACATCTGTATTGAGAGCGGATTTTCTGGGAAGGTAGCTCCAATTTCTTTTCCGGCATATTGTGCTACTTAATTAAGAGTAAAAAAAAAAATACAAAACCTACGTTTTTGGTACAATGAATGGTAAAATATTTAGTATTACTTACAGCCGACCAGTTTTGGTAATAAAAAATATTTTACCATTTATTGTGGCAAAAAGAAAAAAAAACCCGTCGGTTTTTGTTTTTTTTACTCTTAATCAAGTAGATGTAGTTGAAGATTGATAGGTTAGGATAGTTGAATTGTTTGTGCTGAGGGCCAGAGGCTTGCGGAACACAACTTTAACTGAAAGAATGATTTCAACTTCAACTTTGAAGCTGAGGGTACGTTGATTGTATTCAGAGTTGAAGTATGGAGGATACATGAAGAGGAATAACAAGTTTCATCATTTTGCTTGTCATAGTAGAGTCATTCTTTAAGTGAACAGGTATGGGAAAGGGTAAGGGATTGTGCTTGTCGTAGTAGTTATTCTTTAAATGAACAGGTATAGGAAAGAGTGAGGGATTGTGCTTGTCGTAGTAGAGTCATTCATTAAATGAACAGGTATAGGAAAGAGTGAGGGAATGTGCTTGTCGTAGTAGAGTCATTCATTAAGTGAACCGGTATAGGAAAGAGTGAGGGATTGTGCTTGTCGTAGTAGAATCATTCATTAAATGAACAGGTATAGGAAAGAGTGAGGGAATGTGCTTGTCGTAGTAGAGTCATTCATTAAGTGAACCGGTATAGGAAAGGGTGAGGGAGTAGCTTCTTCCATCTGAATGTCTAATGTGCAGTTTAAAGAATGAACATTTGATGAAGATATTTTTGTATATATTTCCTAAAGCTTGTAAAATAATTGATCATAATACAATATTTCTACAATCATGCAGTAATAACTCAAAGTAAGAAAGTAGTTGTTGTTCATTTATCTAATGTTTGAGACCCATGTTCTGATGTCGGTTAAAATAACAACAATAACATTTAGAAGAAATTAAGTTCATTGGTGGGGAAAAAGGTAAAAGACGTGAGCAATTACTCATGTTTTTGCTAATACACGCACTCCTTCCCTCCCCGGTGGCTCAGTAGTAAGTAGGTTTTCATGTCCACAACAGGCAGTGTACAGGTAATTAAACGTGTAGCTTTGCGCTTAACAACAAACAAAAAAAAAGACAATTTATGATGAAATATTGAAGAAAAACTCATGAATGTGTTTACAGAATGACTGTTCACATGTTTATTTTAACACGCTCTTGTCGAAACCCAATGGAAACAATAAATATTGCATATACACAGACACAATGTAAGTTCAAATTAATGATTAATATTGAAAGATATGTTTTTAAATATTTATAGTAATTCCTTTTAATGTTTCTTATTTAGTTATTTTTACAAAAACATTGTTAGAATTCTAATGACTGACTACCAGAAATGTTTGCGATAAATCCGTGAAGGAAACTCGCATTCTACGTATAAAGCAAACATGAAAAAGTAGGAATCACTGTGCATTAGCGTGAATAAAGAATAAAAGACGAAGATCACATGCATCAAGATCAAGCAAAAGATCACTACCACGTGTTACCTCAGTAGCTTGAGTCTCTGAAATGGCAGCGGGATAAACCACGTATTTCACCTTCCATAATGCTTGCTAAAGTGTAAAATAGCATAAAAAAGATCCATTCATACGCTACTGTTTTACATTTCATAACTAATAACTATAAAGTGATAATTTTTCAGAAGTTTCATTATGGCGTTTCAACACACATTCAACTTTGTGAAATCTTCGAAGTTGACATTTTACACCATCAAGTAAAGAGTAATTTAGATCCTCATTTCATCCATCATACAAAGTTTTCCCCAATGGTCTACTATTAACGAACTTAGACCCCCAAAGATTTTAAGAAGGGTATAATTGATTCAAATAAAAGTTCAATATATGAAAAGAACGAATGTTTCTTTAATCAGTATATACACCGAACGAGCTATTTACCTACCAGGTGATTGTTTGTTTTGAATTTCGCGCAAAGCTACACGAGGGCTATCTGCGCTAGCCGTCCCTAATTTACCAGTGTAAGACTAGAG